GTGTGTCAGGTACAGTTAGGTGTGTCAGGTACAGTCAGGTGTGTCAGGTACAGAAAAGTGTGTCAGGTACAGTTAGGTGTGTCAGGTACAGTCAGGTGTGTCAGGTACAGACAGGTGTGTCAGGCGTGTCAGCTACAGTCAGGTGTGTCAGATGTGTCAGGTACAGAAAAGTGTGTCAGGTACAGTCAGGGGTGTCAGGTACAGTCAGGTGTGTCAGATACAGTCAGGTGAGTCAGATGTGTCAGGTACAGAAAAGTGTGTCAAGTACAGTCAGGGGTGTCAGGTACAGTCAGGTGTGTCAGGTACAGTCAGGTGAGTCAGGTACAGACAGGTGTGTCAGATGTGTCAGGTGTGTCAGGTACAGTCAGATGAGTCAGGTGTGTCAGGTACAGTCAGGTGAGTCTGATGTGTCAGGTACAGTCAGGTGTGTCAGATGTGTCAGGTACAGAAAAGTGTGTCAGGTACAGTTAGGTGTGTCAGATACAGTCAGGTGTGTCAGATGTGTCAGGTACAGAAAGGTGTGTCAGGTACAGTCAGGTGTGTCAGATACAGTCAGGTGAGTCAGGTACAGACAGGTCTGTCAGGTGTGTCAAGTACAGTCTGGTGAGTCAGATGCGTCAGGTACAGAAAGGTGTGTCAGGTACAGTCAGGTGTGGCAGATACAGTCAGGTGAGTCAGGTGTGTCAGGTACAGTCAGGTGAGTCAGGTGTGTCAGGTACGGTCAGGTGAGTCAGGTATGTCAGGTGTGTCAGGTACAGTCAGGTGTGGCAGGTACAGTTGGGTACAGTCAGGTGAGCCAGGTACAGTCAGGTGAGTCAGATGTGTCAGGTACAGTCAGGTGTGTCAGATACAGTCAGACACAATCAGGTGTGTCAGATTTGTCAGGTACAGTCAGGTGTGTCAGGAACAGTAAGGTGTGTCAGGTGTGGGTGGTACAGTCAGATGTGTCAGGTGAGTCAGGTGAGTTTACCTGGAAGCCTCCCAGCGTGATGGTCAGAGAGACGTCGAGTGGTCGGTTGACGACTCCGGCAACAGATTTAATGAGTGACATGAAGAGCAGCGGAAACCAGACAATACAGATCAGCAGCAGAACAATGAGACCGCCCATCCCGTACTTCACCACACGCTTCTTCTTCTGACCGCGAGGCTGTGGGTACCTCTGCACACAGTACACACACAGTACACAAAGTGCATGAATATACACACACATGTGTTGTGGCGGCGAGGCGGGGGTTTCCTCTGCCGACAGATACAAACCTTCTCAGACTCTCTCCAGCACTTTAAGACGAAGCAGTGGGCGTAGACGTCCTCCACACAGATCCAGGAGGACAGAGACAGAGTGGTATCTGTCCACACCCAGTCCATCACTGCTCTCAGCTCCGTCAGGAAGGGGACGAGTCGGAAACTACAGGCAGACAGGTGGACAGGAAGGTGAAGACATGGACAGGTGGACAGACAGGTAAAGACGTGGACCAGTGGACAGACAGGTAAAGACATGGACCAGTGGACAGACAGGTAAAGACATGGACCGGTGGACAGACAGGTAAAGACATGGACAGGTGGACAGACAAGTAAACACAAAGACAGGTGGAAGGACAGGTAAAGACATGGACAGGTGGCCAGACAGGTAAAGACATGGACAGGTGGAAGGACAGGTAAAGACACAGACAGGTGGACAGACAGGTAAAGACATGGACAGGTGGAAGGACAGGTAAAGACACAGACAGGTGGACAGACAGGTAAAGACATGGACAGGTGGACAGACAAGTAAACACAAAGACAGGTGGAAGGACAGGTAAAGACATGGACAGGTGGCCAGACAGATAAAGACATGGACAGATGGAAGGACAGGTAAAGACACAGACAGGTAAAGACATGGACAGGTGGACAGACAAGTAAACACAAAGACAGGTGGAAGGACAGGTAAAGACATGGACAGGTGGCCAGACAGGTAAAGACATGGACAGGTGGAAGGACAGGTAAAGACACAGACAGGTGGACAGACAGGTAAAGACATGGACAGGTGGAAGGACAGGTAAAGACACAGACAGGTGGACAGACAGGTAAAGACATGGACAGGTGGACAGACAAGTAAACACAAAGACAGGTGGAAGGACAGGTAAAGACATGGACAGGTGGCCAGACAGATAAAGACATGGACAGATGGAAGGACAGGTAAAGACACAGACAGGTAAAGACATGGACAGGTGGACAGACAAGTAAACACAAAGACAGGTGGAAGGACAGGTAAAGACATGGACAGGTGGAAAGACAGGTAAAGACACAGACATGGACAGACAGACAGGGTAAGGAAGTGTAAGGTGTGGGGGAACACTGTGTTGTTAAAATGTTTAAAGTCTGGTGACATGTGACAGGCTGCAGTCTAACATTTCCCTCTGCTCCCAGTGTCTGTGCTAAGCTAGGCTAGGCTAACAGTTTCCCTCTGCTCCCAGTGTTTGTGCTAAGCTAGACTAGGCTAACATTTTCCCTCTGCTCCCAGTATTTGTGCTAAGCTAGGCTAGGCTAACAGTTTCCCTCTGCTCCCAGTGTTTGTGCTAAGCTAGACTAGGCTAACATTTTCCCTCTGCTCCCAGTATTTGTGCTAAGCTAGGCTAGGCTAGGCTAACAGTTTCCCTCTGCTCCCAGTGTTTGTGCTTAACCAGGCTAACGTTTCCCTTTGCTCCCAGTGTCTGTGCTAAGCTAGGCTAGGCTAGGCTAACAGTTTCCCTCTGCTCCCAGTGTCTGTGCTATGCTAGGCTAGGCTAACAGTTTCCCTCTGCTCCCAGTGTCTGTGCTAAGCTAGGCTAGGGTAACAGTTTCCCTGTGCTCCCAGTGTTTGTGCTAAGCTAGGCTAGGCTAACAGTTTCCCTCTGCTTGCAGTGTCTGTGCTAAGCTAGGCTAGGTTAACAGTTTCCCTCTGCTCCCAGTGTCTGTGCTAAGGTAGGCTAGGGTAACAGTTTCCCTCTGCTCCCAGTGTTCGTGCTAAGCTAGACTAACAGCTGGATGTGGACTCACCCCTGGAACAGGAAGAGGTTGAGGTAGTTGTAACTCTTTGTCAGGAAGTTTCCCAAGACTCGTGTCGGGTAACCAGAACGAATCTGATAGGCCGACAGACCGAAGTAAACACACTTCACAAAATACCAGAGCTGAGCCACCAGGTTCTGATTGAACCGCCTGGAGACAGACAGACAGACAGACAGATAGAAAAACAGACAGAAATAAGTTGTTATTTACAGCGTCCAGGGACTTGTATGGACACACACACAGAGCAGTGACACCTAAAGGTAAATACAGTAGATATCAGTAGATATCAGAAGAAATCAGAAAATATCAGTAGATATCAGAACATATCAGTAGATACAGTAGATATCAGAAGATATCAGTAAATATCAGTAGATATCAGAAGATATATCAGTAGATACAGTAGATATCAGAAGATATCAGTAGATATCAGAGGATATCAGTAGATACAGTAGATATCAGAATATACAGTAGATATGAGTAGATATCAGAAGAAATCAGAAAATATCAGTAGATATCAGAAGATATATCAGTAGATACAGTAGATATCAGAAGATATCAGTAGATACCAGGAGATACAGTAGATATCAAAAGATATCAGTAGATATCAGAGGATATCAGTAGATACAGCAGATATCAGTAGATATCAGTAGATATCAGAAGATATCAGTAGATGTCAGAGGATATCAGTAGATATCAGTAGATACAGTAGATATCAGAAGATATATCAGAAGATATCAGTAGATATCAGAATATATCAGTAGATATCAATAGATACAGTAGATATCAGAGGATATCAGTAGATATCAGTAGATACAGTAGATATCAGTAGATATCAGAAGATATCAGAAGATATCAGTAGATATCAATAGATACAGTAGATATCAGAGGATATCAGCAGATACAGTAGATATCAGAAGATATCAGTAGATATCAGTAGATACCAGGAGATACAGTAGATATCAGAGGATATCAGTAGATATCAGTAGATATCAGAGGATATCAGCAGATACAGTAGATATCAGTAGATACAGTAGATATCAGAAGATATATCAGAAGATATCAGTAGATATCAGTAGATATAAGAGGATATCAGCAGATACAGTAGATATCAGAAGATATATCAGAAGATATCAGTAGATATCAGTAGATACAGTAGATATCAGAAGATATCAGAAGATATCAGTAGATACCAGTAGATATCAGTAGATATCAGAGGATATCAGCAGATACAGTAGATATCAGTAGATACAGTAGATATCAGAAGATATCAGTAGATACAGTAGATATCAGAAGATATATCAGAAGATATCAGTAGATATCAGAAGATATCAGTAGATATCAGAAGATATATCAGTAGATATCAGTAGATACAGTAGATATCAGAAGATATCAGTGGATACAGTAGATATCAGTAGATATCAGAAGATATATCAGTAGATATCAGAGGATATCAGAGGATATCAGTAGATATCAGTACATACAGTAGATATCAGAAGATATCAGTAGATATCAGAAGATATATCAGTAGATATCAGTAGATACAGTAGATATCAGAAGATATCAGTAGATATCAGAGGATATCAGTAGATATGAGTAGATATCAGAAGATATCAGTAGATATCAGAGGATATCAGTAGATATCAGCAGATATGAGTAGATATCAGAAGATATATCAGAAGATATCAGTAGATATCAGAGGATATCAGTAGATATCAGTAGATATCAGTAGATAGAGTAGATATCAGTACATACAGTAGATATCAGAAGATATCAGTAGATATCAGAAGATATATCAGTAGATATCAGTAGATATCAGAAGATATATCAGAAGATATCAGAAGATATCAGCAGATACAGTAGATATCAGTAGATATCAGAGGATATCAGTAGATACAGTAGATATCAGAAGAAATCAGAAAATATCAGTAGATATCAGAAGATATATCAGTAGATACAGTAGATATCAGAAGATATCAGTTGATATCAGGAGATATCAGTAGATACCAGGAGATACAGTAGATATCAGAAGATATCAGTAGATATCAGTAGATACCAGGAGATACAGTAGATATCAGAAGATATCAGTAGATATCAGTAGATACCAGGAGATACAGTAGATATCAGAAGATATCAGAAGATATCAGTAGATATCAGTAGATATCAGAGGATATCAGTAGATATCAGTAGATACAGTAGATATCAGAAGATATATCAGAAGATATCAGTAGATATCAGAGGATATCAGTAGATATCAGTAGATACAGTAGATATCAGAAGATATCAGAAGATATCAGTAGATATCAGTAGATATCAGTAGATACAGTAGATATCAGTACATACAGTAGATATCAGAAGATATCAGTAGATATCAGAGGATATCAGTAGATATCAGTAGATACAGTAGATACAGTAGATATCAGTACATACAGTAGATATCAGAGGATATCAGTAGATATCAGTAGATATCAGAAGATATCAGTAGATACAGTAGATACAGTAGATATCAGAGGATATCAGTAGATATCAGTAGATATCAGAAGATATCAGTACATACAGTAGATATCAGAGGATATCAGTAGATATCAGTAGATATCAGAAGATATCAGTAGATACAGTAGATACAGTAGATATCAGAGGATATCAGTAGATATCAGTAGATATCAGAAGATATCAGTAGATACAGTAGATACAGTAGATATCAGAAGATATCAGTAGATACTGGTAGAGAGGAGGCACTGCCAGAGTGTTTTAATGTCACAGACTGGGGACTTTTTATAGAAGACTTCGGAGATGACATGGAGGGTCTCTCTCGTTACATTAAAGACTACATACAATTCTGTGAGGACAACATTGTCCCAACAAAAAAAGGTTCACTGCTTTTCTAACAACAAGCCATGGATCAATAAAGACATTAAAGGCCTTCTTAACAGGAAGAAGAGGGCGTTCATGTCCAAGGATGACAAGGAACTCAGGGCTGTTCAGAAGGAGCTGAAGAGGAGACAATCCTTCTCACCCTCTGCACGACAAGCTGTGGCTGATGGCAGCTCATTCAGCCAGCCATCTTATTCTATTTAATGTCCTTTGATTTTGTCTTGTGCTGCTGTGATACTTGAATTTCCCCCTGGGGGATCAATAAAGTATATCTTATCTTATCTTAGATACAATAGATATCAGTAGATACAGTAGATACAATAGAAACAGTAGAAACAGATGGTTACCTCTCAGTGACTGTGGGCAGGATGAAGAACATCCAGAAGTGAATCCCAAAGACTAAAATCACCTGAAAGACCAACTTCCCCAAAACAGTCTTCCTCAGATACAGAGCTCTGTCTATCACCATGGTGCCTGCAGACAGACAGACAGACATAGGTCTAAACAAACAAACAAACAAACAAACAAACAAAACAAACAAACAAACAAACAGGTAAACAGATTGACAGGTACACGTACCAAACTGGATCAGAACCATCACCAGGAAAGCTTCAGGAACTTGGTCTTCTGACAGGGAGGAAGTGATGTCAGCAGCCGCAGAGTGTTTCTGAGACAGTCAGAGAGTTCAGTAAAGTTTTATTCAGACTCAAAACGTCGAGAGATGCTGACAGGAAATAAAACCTTACTCCAAAGGCCCAGAAGCCGAAGACAATGATGATGAAGTCCACGGTGTCGGCAAGGAACATGAGGACATAAACATCAGTGACAGCGCTGTATTCTGGTTGGACCAGAGCTCTGAAGAACTGAAGGACCGGACGGTAGAGGGACAGACACCTGACAGAGACAGACAGACAGACATCAGCTGAGGCCTGTGACGTGCAGTGACGCGCAGTGAAGCACTATTTTTTTAATCTTATTAATGATAATAATAATTGCAATAATGTTATTAATGTGTGCCTCTTTGTTGTGCTTCACAGTTTGCGCAGTAATAACCCTGCAGCATCACTCAGTATGTGAAGCTGTTGCATCGCAGCCTGTGATTCAGTCGGCGCAGTCATCATACAGTCTGCAGACATCACACCTGATGTTCATCAGATCCATGTGGGACAGTGAAGCTGCACTCGACTTATCAGACGGAGGAGAAACTGGAGCCAGCAGCTCAAACACAGAATAATAAAACTGTCTAAATGTTCTATTCTCTTTTCTGAGTTTTCAAAATTAAAAAAACTGTTTAAAGTGAAATTAATCAAACAATGTTACTCGACACTCCAGGTGTTTTGTACCAGATTTAGAAAGTAGCTCATTTTCACCTGAGCAGGTAAGCACCATCATTAATACCTGTAATGCATTTAATACAAATACAAACAGTACCTGTGGAGTGCTGACAGATCCATCTGTATCTGACCATAATCAGGAATAAATCCTGAGGTATTTTCAGGAACAGCTCAGTCACGGGAAGTTTTATCTCTGTTATCAGTTTGGATGTTATCTGTTCTCAGACCTGTGGGGGGATAAACTGGTTCGCTTCAGTGTTAGCATACCTGCTAACAGAGTACTTCTTGGCTCTGATGGAAAGTTCTCGGAGTTTCTCCAGCAGCAGATCGAACCTGCCCGGCGGCTGAGCTCTGGAACTCACACTGCCTAAAGAATAAAACACATGAAGAAGACAAGAAGGAAAATATCAACAGTACGGCAGGTACACGAGTCTTTGCACCAGGCTCAAACCACGTCGTTTATTCATCAACTCTAACGTCATTCCACATGCAGATGAAACAGCAGTTTTCCCAGAAATCACTTCTTTGCCGCTCTAAAACAGAAGCCGACACAACAAGCTGAGCAACAACAACTGTACAACCAAAACCTAAGCTGGCCACTCTGGTACACACAGCCATGACGGTGACGGGGAGAAACGAGTACCAGTCCCTCCTGTCAATTTATGAGCAGTCTGTTTTTAGGCAAGCTCAGAGGATACTGACCGACCCATCACATATCCTGCACATAGAATGTGAGCTCTTGTCCTCCGGCAGACGATAATAGAGTTCCCCACTGCAAACTTAACCGATTTAAAAATGAATTTGTTCCTACCTCCATTAAACTTTTAAATAGTGCTGTTTGAGGCTGCAGGGATTATCCAATAGTCTCACGGTGTTGTACCACAGGGTATGTGCAATATGTTGTAATGTACAATGTGGAATATGTGCAGTTTACTATGTAGCTTGTTTTATCACACTGTGAAGACATGCTGTGCGCAGCATATCCAAAACAACCGTTCAAAACAAATTTCCCTTTGGGGACAATAAAGTATATCGTATCATTTGAGAGCAGAATTATTATCAGTTAGGGCTGAGCGATATGAGCAAAATCTCATATCACAATATAGCACATTTTAATCCAATGAATTAAAAGTCCCCCCTCCCCCCACCGCTTAAATGTGCCTCTGTGTGTGCTTTTACGTAGCATGCAGGTGTTCCGGATTCAGAGGTGTGAAAGGGATCACACTGATCAGAGCTTTAAACTCTACCATGAGGGAGTAGAAAAACGTTACTAGGACGAGGGGAGGACATTTCTCCTCGTTTGATAACATTACGATGAGTCGGGCAACCAGCCCATTTTAAAGAAGACGAGAAAAAAAGAGAGAGAGAGAGAGCAGCTGTGGTCGAGCAAGCTAGAGAGGGAGTGAAGAGAGGGAGCGCTGGTAGCGAGAAAGCTGGTGAATCAGATCAATAAAACATTATTTTCTGATTGTTTCACGGCGGTTATGTTCTAAAGCACAAACACCCCCACACACCTCCGCACACCTAACATGTAATAATATTAGTAAGTCCATTCGATATCAGAAACCTGGATCAACAGTGAAAGAGGCGCAGCGTTTAAAACTGACGGAGCTGACGTAGAAACAGACAAAAGTGGGATGAGATGGTGTGGCCTTGTAAAAGGACAAGTTTGAATTTTAAGGTGGTGGAAAAGATGTGGTGGATAATTTACTGGAAAGAGTTACAGTAGAAATTTATCTGGAAAAAAGATAAATGTTACTGTGAGTCGTATATTTGAAGCACCGGGCAGTGACACAGACACATTTAAGGACTGGATGAAGCAAAATTTTACAAACATAAACTGAAACAGTCACGTTCATCTGTGGTGACTTCAACATCGATTTACTAAATCCAAACAAAATGACAGAATTTATCAATACATCGTTCAGCCTTAGCCAACATCCAAAAATCACCAGTCCCAGCAGGATGACTTCACATAGAACAATACAGCGAGTGGATTATTAATAAATGATACCAGCTTTCACACCTCACGACAAGCAGGAAATTGATCTAAAATATCGACAGGTGAGGACAGAAGAGTCCAAGGATGAAGTCGTCTGGTGGTTTGTCAGAACCTCTTTAAGGCCAACTGATGGACCGTCTCCAAGACCTCGACACCTGAGCGAATGCTTCAGTGACCACAGACCTTGCAGTCGTCTTGATACCTGTCTGCTGCTGCAGGACTCACCACAGCCAACAAACCTGAAAGGAATCCTGCGGTGTGCAGGCCACGACTCTGAGCAGCTGACTGCCATCTGCCAACAGCTTTTTTCAGAACAGTTCATTTAGATCATGGGTTCTCACAAAACAAGGCTTCATCCAGGGACCAAAGGATTTCTGAAACAGGTCTATTGTACCACACTGAGCTGATCAAACCACCCTCCTTTTCCAGCAGCTGATCACAAACACTGCCGTCATATCCTTCAGACCGAAATATTCACCTGTAACATTTCATCTTGTTCTGTTGAGGTGCATTAGATTTTACCTGCAGGAGAGCGCAGCTGGGTGGAGCTGGAGCATGTCTGTCTCCTGCCTCGACGCCGCAGCGTGCTAGCAGCGTCGGCTGGATCGGCAGAGGTTGCAGTTTGACCAGAGTCGCCCTGGGTGTCCTGGTGATGGAGAGTATCCGCATCCGTCATAACAGTCTGGTCCCACAGCCCATGGCACTGCAGAGAGGGAAGGAAGATGGAGTTTCACAATAATAAATAGAATAGAGTTCTACCTCGAGTACGGCTCAGTGGTGCTATGACTTGTAGTATTTACCTGGAGTACGGCTCAGTGGTGCTATGACTTGTAGTTTTTACCTGGAGTACGGCTCAGTGGTGCTATGACTTGTAGTTTTTACCTGGAGTAAGGCTCAGTGGTGCTATGACTTGTAGTTTTTACCTGGAGTA